TTGGGTTTTTTGGATTGGAGTTCATGGGTCTTGTTGGTGGGGTTTGAATGAGAGGAATATGGTTTGCTTTTTGGGTATTTTCTGGTTTATTTGAATTGAATGGTGCTCTGTGGTTGAATGAATTTGATGGTGTGGTTTTATGTGGTTTACTGGCTGAGCTATATTTCTCTTCGTATACTTTAGCAAGGGACACAACTTTGACAATAGAAATTGGTGTGTGAACCATCACATCTCGTCTGATCTCAGAAATTAAACCACTAACGAAACAATCCATCAATGCACCATTACTCAAGCCATAAACTCTGTAAGCTAATGAAGTAAATTACAGATAATACTCAGCCACATTTCCAGTTTGGCTTAATTTGAATAACGTTGCTCTGGGACACTCATAAATTGATGGGCCAAAATCAAGTTTTAACGCGCGTGTGAACTCCACGCAAGATTGAAATGGGTGAGAATGTTGCATCATCTAGAACCAAGGAACTGCATCTTTATCTAAATGCACAGAAGCGATGGTTAACCGATCCGGATCCGGCGTCCCATAATAATCAAAAAACTGCTCAGCACGAAATATCCATTCTAACACATTTTTTCCATCAAAACGGGGAAATTCCAATTTAATGTTTCTCTTGGAACTCGTTATACATCATTTCGATAGCTTCGGCATTGCGCTTGACGTTGGAACTGAGCTTCTTCATCCGGGTATTGGCTCATGTGTGCACGTAGTCCCTCAAACTTAAACTAGTCACATGTTTCCTCATTCCTTTCCTTTGCACCATAATTCCTTGATAAATGCTAATTGCATCCTTCCCTATGTTTCCATGTGGGTCCCCCTTGGCTGACTTGGCAGAGAATGTGCTCTTCATATTTTCATTCATTGCAGTTTATTCCTTTTAACTAGTCGAACAACGATAAAATTATGTAAAACATTCTAAGAAATTTTAGTTGACTTGTATTGAAAATTGAAACTTTTGGGTCAAATGGTTCTTTCACCTTTTAGATTAAGATTAATTTTTCGGGATGAAATTTTCCTTTTAAATTTAAGCTCCTTAACATTTTGTTGATTGAAGGATTTTAATCAATTAAAATAAGACATAGTAAAGAATCACCATGTACAATTTTTACATGCTCCGTGGAGTGAAATGTGTCAATAGTATCTACTCTTACTGTGGTAATTTTTCTCCAAAACTTGTAAAGGAAATGTTTAAAAATTTTGTATGTTTCAGGAATGCAGTGAGTTCTGAAGGATCGCTTCGTGATTTTTTCTTAAATGTATTAAGTTTTAGGGAAACACAACGTGTTTTATGATGCCTATAAAAGTTTTCTTTTCAGCCTTTATTGTGTATGAAATTGAGAGAAGAAATGATAGAGATTCTTAAGTTGTATTATTCTAAGAATTAGAAGACAGTTGGGTATTGTTCTTAGAATCTCTTATCGTGAACTTTGCCTAAGAAAAACTTTTGTTTAGTTCTTAAGATTAATTAGTTAAAATCTTAATTTGGTTCCTTAGTTCAACGAGGTGTAAATGCTTTGTTTAGTTCTAAGATTAGTCTAATGTGAAATCTTGTGTTTGGTTAGGGAATTATTGGTGTAAAATCTCATATTTGGTTGAAGAAGGTTTATGAGCATAACTTTGTGAAAAACTAACATCTGATTATAATGGAAACTCTCAAGAGAAATTTCATGGGAACAAGAATAGGCCAAATTGTTAGGTTGAACTTGTATAAATCTCAGGTAAATTTCTCTCTTCCCTTTTCTATTTACATTTCTGCTCTTTATTTCTTTTTGTTGTGGTTTCTTCTCTCTCTGAATAATTTCACTACTTATTCTCTATTTGGTTTATAAAACTAAATTAAACTTTTGATAAATTAAATATTTTTTTATTGAACATCATTTTTAAACCTCCACAATTCAACCCCTTCCCCTTCCCCCGGGTCCATCTTGTATTTTGAGTCATTTGTCCAACATATATGAGAAGGAAGTTGAGGTGTCTGTTTCTAGTTCTATTGAGAGGTAATTTAGATTGGCTCCAAACTATCATTTTCCACGTGATAGGGTAAAGAGAGAAATTATACCAACTCGTAGGAACAATTATGTTTATCTTATTTATTATGATTTAAATGTTACTGTAGGGTTACAAAACTCTGAACCAAAGACTTTCAGGGATGCGTAGGCCAACATATTAAAATATTATTTAAGGAGATGACTGACAAGATGAATTTCCTAGTGAATAATCTTAATAGGGAGCTTGTAAGACCTCTTTTAGAGAAGACTCCTTATGAATTGTGGAGGAATAGAAAGCCCAACATTTCATATTTCCATCCTTTTGGATGTATTTGTTTTATTCGGAACACTAAAGATAATTTGAACAAATTTGACTCTAAAGCACAAAAGTGTTTTATGCTTGGATATTCTGAACGTTCAAAAGGCTATAGAGTATACAATACTGAAACACAGATTATGGAAGAATCAATTCATGTCAGATTTGATGATAAGCTTGGCAATCAAAAGCCAAAGCAGTCTAAAATTTCTGCAGATCGAGAAGTTCTTCTCACATACTCTGAAGAATCAGAGGCAAACAAAGTTCCAGCTAAAGAACCAGAAGCAACTCCAGATGCCACTCCATTAGCTGCTCATATGGACAACTTAACTATTTCTGAAGAACCAACTCTGAAAGGATCCTCCAGAATCAAATCTTCTCATCTAGAGGAGATGACTATTGGAAAGAAGGATGATCCCATAAGAACAAGATACTTCCTCAAATCCTCTGGGACATCATTGTTTAGTATGGTGTCAATTATTGAACCTACCTTTGTGGATGAAGCTCAGAAATAAGTTAAATGAGCAAGGAGAAGTCATCAAAAATAAATCTAGACTTGTTGCTCAAGGCTACAGTTAGCAAGAAGGTATTGACTACATAGAGACATATGCTCCTATGGCAAGGTTAGAATCCATACGCTTGCTAATTTCTTTTGCTGCACAGAATAACATCACTCTGTATCAGATGGATGTTAAAAGTGCTTTCTTAAATGGTTTAATAAAAGAAGAAGTATATGTTCATCAACCTCCTGGATTTGAAAATGAAAGATTTCTAGAGCATGCTTTTAAATTAAAGAAATCATTTTATGGCCTAAAACAAGCTCCCAGAGCTTGGTATGAAAGGCTGAGTAATTTTCTTTTGGAAAATATTTTTATCAGAGGAAAGGTTGATACCACTCTTTTTTCATAAATCAATTAAGAAAGATATCTTAATCTGTTAGACTTATGTTGATGATATTATTTTTGGAACCACAAATATTTCACTTGGAAAGGAGTTTGCTAAGTCTATGTAGGCAGAGTTTGAAATGAGCATGATGAGAGAGCTAAGATTCTTTTTGGACATTCAAGTTAATCAGACTCCAGAAGGCACCTACATACATCAAACGAAGTATGTGAAGGAGCTTCTAAAGAAGTTTAATCTGACAGAGAGTAAGCCAGCTAAGACTCCCATGCATCCAACTTGCACTCTAGGAAAAGAAGAGGTAAGTAAAAAGGTAGATCAGAAGCTGTACAGAGGTATGATTGGCTCTCTTCTGTATTTGACTGCCTCTAGGCCTGACATTCTCTTTAGTGTATGTTTATGTGCTAGGTTCCAATCAGATCCTAGAGAATCTCACTTAACTGTTGTTAAGAGAATTCTGAGGTATCTGAAAGGTACAACTAACGTGGGTCTGTGTTACAGAAGATCTGATGAATATAAATTAGTAGGCTTCTGTGACGCTGATTTTGATGGAGATAGAGTTGAACACAAAAGCACCTCTGGAAGCTGTCAGTTTCTAGGAGGCAATCTGATCTCGTGATACAGAAAGAAACAACCCACTATAGCACTCTCAACTACAGAGGAAGAATATATTTCTGCTGCTGGTTGCAGTACCCAGATGCTTTGGATGAAGATTCAGTTGGAGGAGGACCAAATACATGAGAGTAATATTCCAATCTTTTGTGACAATACTTCTGCAATTTGTCTTTCTAAAAGTCTAATTTTACATTCAAAGGAAAAGCATATAGAGATTAAACACCATTTCATCAGAGACTATATTTAGAAAGGGATATTAAGTTTAAATTTTGTTGATACAGACCATCAATGGGCTGATATTTTTACAAAACCCCTCTCTGAAGATAGATTT